CCCCCCCCCCCCCCCCCTCCCACTGGCTAAATTGTGTCCCGCTCTGTTGTCTCAGTGTCATGGAAACCAGGTCTATATGATTGGCATTTATAAATAAATATTCGATGCACATGTTCTATGCAACTATATTGCACATATTTTCGATTTCCCAGTTAAATATTTATGTATTTGGATTCGCCAATAATACACTATAGAAGCTGGGATACCATTACAGTTAACACCAATTTAATACAGTACGCCTTAAATATTTAGAAAAGGTTGTAAAAGAATGCGTGACATATTGCATTTTATATTAACTTAATGTAAATACCAAAACAAAAACACACCATTTGTTTCCAATTCTCGAGCCAATGCCATATCACAGTCGATAAAACCTCGTCGTAATGCCGTAGTAAGCGAACAATGGCCCTGATCTAGAAAATTCTTCACGTACAAATCTAAATTGTTTTGTACAAAATCCACGACAAAGGACCCGCCATGCCCGTCAAAAACGCCAAGGAATACAACATCTGGCGATAACTCTGTCACTTTTATTCTGTCTTCGTTTGAATCTTTAAAACCTTTGAGGCTTTGGGATTTAATATTGTTTAAATCGACGCCGTTTAGCAACCATGAGTCATCTTTCTGCCAACCGCCTATATTGTCATTCGAGTATAGAACATGGCTCCCTCCGTCGCTCCAAAGTCTTGGCTTTTTAAACGACTCCTCGCTCATCAACCGGTAAACTATATACGCCAAAGGTTCTTTCTTCCTCTTACTGTAGTTTAAAAGCGTTTTCGGCAAACGGCAAGCTGTAAAAGACAGCATTTTTGCCCCCAAACCGAATAGAACAGAACAGAATAGCGCGGAAACTGAGGCGCGGAAAAGTGTAATGAAATATTAATGTTTTGGTCACGTGTTAGGGCGGGAAAACCGCACGTGCGGAAAAACACTTGGAATTCCCCTTGGCTGATGCAATCAGAAAACTCGAAAAAAGGGCAAATCTTTGATGTTTTATTCCCTAGAAACTGTACTCCGAGTTTAAATTGTTTAGAATATTTTGAATTGGGTTGAATTATTAAAAGAAAATTCGTATTATAGCCTTTCAAAGTTTGTTTTTTGGCACTCAAATTCTTGGTCGCCATGTTGTTACATTATCTAGTATCTTTTCTATTTCATATTTGCGATTAATTTCCAGAATTCGAATAATTTCCAGAAAGTATAATTAGTAGCCAATCGCAGCAACTTTTTAACGGCTAGCCAATCACGGAAACCTTACAAATACGAGAGCCAGCCAATCGCAGCAGCATTCTAAATATAAGGAATAGCCAATCACAGCAGCTGATGATTCATTAGTTGGCCAATCGCAGCAGCTTTACAAATCTAGCAGCCAGCCAATCATGGCAACCTAAAATTATATCGCGGCTGGCCAATCACAAGACAAGAAAAGCGCGCGAACAAAAAATCCCAGGAAACGGGCGTCAAAATTGACTATTTTAATACTTCAATAATATATATATTCGAGTTTAAATTAATTTGTGTTAACGTTAAGTTATGTTACATGCATCGGCTAAGTTAAAACTACATTACTACACCTAAATATACGATGTATATTATTAATATTAATATTATTAACGAATGTTTGCTAAAATTATTAATATAATATATGAAAGCTGATATGACTCGTGTGTTTCGACCTATTGCAAGGTATGATGGTGGTTGTCAATGGCATTGCATGATATCAGAATGAGAAAATATAATCTTAATTATTTTTATTATCAAATAATATACCCTTCAGGAAGTACGTCACTTTGGCATTGGAGCCTCGCATAATGACGTCACAAGGCTTGATGCCCGCGAGGAATGCTGGTCTTAGTAGTTATCGCCCGGGAAAATTTTTCGATAGTGGCCATTTTGAATTGTTTCATTTTCCCGGGCGATGACTACTAAGACCAGCATTCCTCGCGGGCATCAAGCCTTGTGACGTCATTATGCATAAGGTCTAATAACGTACTTTCTGGACTGAGCGTGTATTAGCCGACCTGGAGAAAGCTGGGATCTCGGTATCCTGAGGACCATTTGTCTTAGCAAGAAAATTGAGGAACTTATTTTCAATATAACTTTTGCCTAAAACTGTCGCATGCAACCTGCTTACAACTTGAGTTATACTGTGTAAATCAAGCACACAACTAACCTACGTTGTCGTAGGTTATAGTTGTATGCTTGATTTACATACAGGGCCGTCCTCAGGGAATTCTTCAGGGGGCGGGGGTGTAAGGTCATTTCAACCGACTGACGAATACTTTCCGGACGAGTACGTTGCAAATGCTTTCCAGTGACTTTACCTCAATTTTTCATACCAAAATTCGGAAATTTACCCAAAAAACCCCAAATATTTTGCCCTTTGCGCGGAAAAATTTAACCCAAATAGCAGTCCTGCCGACTGAATAACAGTCCCTTACCAGACTGAATACAATTTCTGGGGGGTGTAACCCCCCCCCCCCCACACACACCCGTATCTCCGGCCCTGTTTACATAGTACAACTCAAGTTGTAAGCAGGTTGCATGCGACAGTTTTAGGCAAAAGTTGTGTTGTGTAAATCGTCCTTTATATCATTCTTCTTTATCTGTCAATTCAGATATGTAACATACATACAGTCAATTAGTATACCTTGTTGTTGCATACGTAATGACGCAATGCACGGGTCAAATTTTCCATTGTTTTTACGCACTTTTGAGAGGAACAATTGGAATTCAGAACAAATTCAGGACCCGAGGAACATTAAACACTTTTTCCAGGTCGGTAATCCAAAGATGTCGTTTAATTGTCTTGCTCCAATAATTGTCAACATTTCAAAAGTTCACCACGCATCTGCTGCCCTGTGACGCTCAATTGAAAGCCCACCAATGTAGATCGTGTTTAAATATTTGTCACTTCGTCTTCGCTCCCGTCCTGCATGGTGAGATTAAGTATTCCGTTGGGATGATAAGCTGCACCGCTGGATGAAGATTCATAAAATGTTCCTGGAATTACATGACTTTCTGGAGTTCCATCACGGAACATGTCCATTGATATTTCCTGGAAATATACACGACAAAAATAAATAAAGGATCCGTTGAATGAAGTAAATTGACTAGTTTAGAATTGATAGAGCTATCCAGTAAAAATAGAGTGAACTGATTTAGTTTAGGTTTCCAGCTGTAGTGACATTAATGATCCTTACTGGACCTCTAGGAAGAACAGTTAAGAACTGATAGAACTATCCAGTAAAAATAGAGTAAACTTAGTTTAGGTTTCCTCCTGTAGTAACACTGAATCAATACGAGATGGCTCTTACTGGACCTCCAGAAAGAACTGCAGTTTAGAACTGGTTGAGCTATCCAGTATAAATAAAGTTAATTTAGTTCAGGTTTCCTCTTTTAGTAACACTGGAACAATAAGAGAGGACCTTCTAGGAAGAATAGTTTAGAACTGATATAGAGCTATATCCAGTATAAATAAAGTTAGTTTAGTTTCTTTTAACAGGTAAATCGCTAGTCTATTTATTTTACCAACATTATCAGATTAGTTAATATATTTATATTAATTTATAGCACTTACTTTAAATGTTATTAAATTAAATTTAAATTTTTTTATTGTAGAAAAACGTCATCGCTGAGTCTCGAATGACCAGAAGCGTTTAGATCTATGTTTTCAGGTTTAACATTGTTATGTATTGGATTAGTTATTCCGTTAGTTGGCAAATCTCTTTTATCGTCTTCCTCCTCATCCATCTCTTGTATTACTGTCTAAATAGTCATAAAAGGAAAACTTTTTTTATGTTACAGGTAAACTACGTAAAGCGTTCCTCTTTTGAGGTTCTAAATTGATTGCAATTTTCCTCATTACTTTTGCAATTTAAAAAACTCCTTTGCAAATCCCTTGAGAAAATTTGCAATGTTGCTAAAAGCCAAATAAATTTTCCTCAGTTCCTGTTAGAAGTTCTTAACTTCCTGTTACAAGTTCCTAACTTCCTGTTCTGTTCTGTTCTGTTCTGTTCTGGGCGTTGCAATTGGCTAACAAAAATAATCGACCAATAACAACGCTCAGAACAGAACAGGAAGTTAGAAAATTAAAACAGGAAGTTAGGAAAATTTAAAATGAAGTGTGGAATATTGCAACAGCCGATAGGAACATTGCAAATTCCCTCAAGGGATTTGCAAAGAGTTTTTCAAATTTGCAAAGCTAATGAGGAAAATTCCAAATGAGTTACGAAGTCAAAAGAGGAACGCTTCACGTAGTTTACCTGTAATAACTTTAAACTTGAACAAAATTTTACTTTAAAAAAGCATTAATTAAGCAAGAGGAAAAGGAAATCGCTATCGTGTTGGTGGTTTTATATGTGATAACATTTCTAAGTTGAAGTAACCACTTTATACTTTAGAATTATTTAGAACAACTGGTATTACTTTAAAAATTCATTAATAACTAATAACTAACTAGAAGTCTAGAACAACTGATTTTGCTTTAAAAACTCATCAAAGGATATCACTATACCGTGTCGGTAGTTTTGTGCAATAAAAAAATCATGTTTAATTTACATAAACTCTAGTTCTAGTATAATGAAACCAGGATCTTAAATTAAACTATTAATGTTTGATCAAGTTTATTATTTCATAACTTGTCGTTTTAGTAGGAAAAATATTGATGTTTTAGTTAGGTTAGTTTAGGTTTAGTAGGAAAGAAATTAATGGGGTTATTTTATTTTATTTTATTTATTTTATTTATTTAGCTTTGCCAACTAGGGCAATCCGGTCCTCAGCTTTCAGAAATACTCAATTGACACAATTTGTAAATATGTAAAGGAAAGTACTTTCCAAAAATACACGGCTTACCTGCGCTTCGTAGAGCTTAGTAGTGTTGCTGTTAGAATGCAGAGATAAATATGTTAGTTGAATTGTGGAAATGAATGTGTTTTATGAATATTATACATCAAGAGAATCAATCTAACCTATTTTTGTCATCTTCTGTTCTCCAGTTTTCATACGGATCCATCCATACTGGGTTAGATCTAAAAATATTTGCACGATCATTAGCCATGCGTGCCATTATCTCAAGTGCATCCATAGGCGGCAGAAACGGGGAGGGGGTGGAGGAGATGGGAGGGGGAATATAGCCCCTCCATTCCTCCAATAGAAAGTGATGGGGCTAAGCCCTACCAAATAACGTGAGAGTGGAAGAACGCAATATGAAGGTGCCTGAAATGCAAAATGAACAAAATATCATCACATATGTTTCTCAGAACGCAGGAAATGCAATTTCAGAAATTCTAGAAATCAAAATGTCCCGGCGTACGATGAGCCAGGTATGCCCCTGGAGTTTGTCTACACACGTAAAAACGCACAAGTTGTAACAAGTCTGCAAACAAGTTGTTACAAGTCTGTTCACAAGCTGTCAACAAGTTGTGTTCGCACTGCTTGTTCCCAGTTTGTTGTAACAAGTTTGAAACAAGCTGTTAAAAACTTGTAACAAGCTTGATGGCATTATCAGCCTTGTTACAAGACTGTGCTAACAAGTTTGTTACAGCCATGATATAACAATGATGTTAAAAGGTTGTCAACAAAAGGTTGTAACAATCTTGTTATATCAAGCATGTAACGGACTAGTCAGAACAACCTTGCAACAAGTCTGATAATTTCGACAAGTTGTCAACAAGTTGCTCCAAACCTGTTGACAACTTGTGACAAGCAGTGGGAATACATCTTGTTGACGGCTTGTTGGCAGACTTGTTACAACTTGTGCGTTTTTACGTGTGTAGTCCTCCTCGCCCGCCAACCAAACTAATCTTTCGCCATCTATAAGTACATCACATCTCTGGTATCATTTTGTTCATATTTGCTACCTTGACTTGATTGAATGTTACATATGTACTTACCCTTCATACACGTGCAAATTGGTGCCCGGAGTTGCCACACCATAAGACTGATCTTGGGATCCTATTTGAGGAATAAAGAAAACATGATTTTACGGAGGACAAATAAAAAAATGAAAGCAAAAAGGATCAGACTGGACTTTACCAATAGCCTTTGCTGCCCGAAGTTTTCGATTGTGACTAAAAAGGAAATATAAAATATTTTAAATTGCAAACTGCATGCAAATATTCTCATATTCAAATTATGAGCGAAAATTATCCGAAAATGATAAGCTTTGAACAGGGTTGGTAGGTTTGCTGAATAATTAGGCCAAACACCGTCACACTAGGCCTTTGTTTTCTTTGTCTTGACCTTTTGTTTTCTTTGTTTTCTAAACAGCACTAATGACGATTTGGCCTAATTATTCATCTAACTTACCAACCCTGGCTTTGAACTGAATTAAAAGCACTGCAAGTCTCTTGTTTATTTGCATACCTTCTTCTCATGAGGCAAATAACACACAAGAAACACAACAATAACATAAACAAAATAACAGCCAGGACAATGGCGGCGGCCAAGATGGCGTCAAATCCATCATCTTCACCGTCCTTCTTCTTGGGCTAGAAGAAAAAGTTATTTTTTAAATTATTTAACTTTTTAATTACTCTGCAGAACAAAACGCCCTATTCACAACACATGCTATCCAGACACGATCCAGTAATCGAAATATTCCATTGTCGTTTCATTGTTTTGAAATTCCCACTGTTCCCCATGCCACCCAGTCACAAATTGTCTTGATCTATTTGTGAATTGTTTTGATCCACTAAAATTGTCAGGAACACATGTCATGTATAAGAGACATATAACGTATTGTAATTGTACCTCGACTGCGTTCACTTTGTATTTTTGGAAGAGTTGAATAAGTTTGCCATAATTTGTATCAATTAGCCTAGAAAAACAAATACATTTCCAATAATATAAAATGATGATACCGTGCAAATATTAGTCGGTTTAATTTCATTAAGCTTCATCGTGCATCAGATGATGGTCATGTGGATTTAGTAAAAGACTTACTTCAATGCTGTGTCTTTGCCGACAACTTTGTTCGTGTTAGGGTCCACAGCATGCATGAAAATGTCAGTCCTAGCAAGAAATTACAAACAATAACTTGAACAGACATAACATTTTACCTATTAAAATATCATTTTAAATATCAGTAAGTAAATAATAATTTTATAGCTATATATTACTTGGATAAATCGTAATAAGAAGGAGAGTTGGTCAGATGAAGGAGAGCTGGTCGGGGATATTACGGAAAGAAGAGATCAGAAGATGTGAGGTGGTAGACATTGCAGAGAAGGTGAGGGAAGCAAGGTTGAGATGGTATGGACACGTAATAAGAAGAGATGAAGGAGAGCTGGTCAGAGACTTTATGGAATGAAGAGATCAGAAGAAGATGTGGAGTGGTAGACATTGCATTTTAAATATCAGTAAATAAACAATAATTTTATAGCTAAACATTACTTGGATAAATCGTATTTTCCATTGCTTTGAAGATGGTACTGGATACTGTCAACATTAAACTCTAGACCTGTTGCATCGTCAAGTGCTCTGTGAACATAAAACAAGAACCATTGGATCCAACGGTTTGTCAACAATAAAACACACAGCAAATAAATCAAACAATCATACTTCTTAATTTCATCAATATTATCTCGCACGAATTTTGTATCATTGATGTCCAACGTTAAACGAACCCTCTGATCATCAACCAACACAAATATCTAGAAAGACAAATTAAAGAGAATTTGTTTAGAGTACAATAGGGCTAAACTACCTTCATTTAATTTTGTACCGAATAGATCTATCCATTCTAAACTGTTCTTTTTCTAGAGATCCAGCAGTAAGAGACATCATATTGTCTAGTGTTACTACAGGACGAAAGCGCCGTTCTGGGGAAAACCTGTGGTGTTTGATAGAGTCAAACTGGAAGCATTCTTCTCACATGGGACTGAGATGAAATTATAATGAGACAACTACATATTACATATGAATCAAACATCAGTCACATGCCCCAACCACCGTGAAACCAACACTCCTTGACGGTACTATAACTCAAGGGAAAAAAACAAATTTATAATTTTACCGTAACATTGGTTTCAGCCACTGACGAGGAATCTTCGCACGAGTAAACAAAAGAGTATTTCTTTCCAACCCCACTTGCAAAATATTGCTGCTGTCCCGCCAAGATCCAGCCTGTCTCTGGCTCAACGCTCAACAGTTCTGCAGGTTGTAGATCAACGACTTTGTAGATGAGTTTGCTGTTGTTACCAATGTCGTTGTCGATGCACTATCATAAAATTGATAATAATTTCATGATTAATTTAATTTCCATTCAACATGCAGGGCATGCATGCTTGTCCAATTCACCCGAGCCAGAGATTCATGGGACACATGCTCAACAACTAAGGCCACGGGTGTCAGAAGATGTAGAGAAAAACTCTCGCAGCACAGGATGCAGTAAAACCAACCAAATTCTACTTGGACGATATAATTTCCAAGTAAAACCCACTTTTTCATCAAAGTTATGTGACTTACAGTAATTTGTGTTATTCTGCTCTCGTATTCTGCATTTTCCGAAACACCTATAAGATAAACATTGTTATAAAGAGATCAGAAGATAAGAAGAGGTGGCAGATATTGCAGAGAAGGTGAGGGAAGCAAGGTTGAGATGGTATGGACGCATAATAAGAAGAGATGAAGGACAGCTGGTCAGAGACATTATGGAATGATGAGATCAGAAGAAGTGAGGTGGTAGACATTGCAGAGAAGGTGAGGGGTGGTATATTAGACATTGCAGAAAAGGTGAGGGAAGCAAGGCTGAGATGGTATGTACATGTAGTAAGAAGAGATGAAGGAGAGCTGGTTAGAGACATTATGAAGTGAAGAGATCAGAAGAAGATGTGGGGTGGTGGACATTGCAGAGAAGGTGAGGGATGCAAGGCTGAGATATTGTCTCTAACTAAATTACACATAAACGTGTTTATTGTAAATGATGGAAGATACGAAATCAAGCAGCTGTAAGATTATGAATAAATTTAAATCACATAGATTTAAAGTTTGTTCGTTCACTGCAACCAGGTATATCAATCATGTTTCGCTCGCTACTCTGGTTTAAAATTCAACTGGGCTTTGTAATCATTTACTTAAACCAGAGTAGCGAGCGAAACATGATTAAATCACATATTTGATAATTTTACCTGCTTTATAAAAACCGTGCTTGAAATATGGTTTATTGTCATTCTTGTCAGCGACAGTTATCGTTACAAGCAGTATATTTTCGTCCACTAAAAGATTTTTGAAAGTTGCATTTGAACAAATGTTTGGTAATAACATAAACAGTGCCTAGTAGGTTCTCATCTATAAGTAGTAAGTCTCGTTTCACGACCCACCTACAGAACGCTTCCGAGAGCTGCTTTGCGGAGGACTCAAAGCTGCAATATAGTCAGCACTTTTCTACAAAAAATAACATTGTTTAGTAATAGAAAAACAATCTAAAAAGCAAACTTTAATAGTGAACTTCATCTAAATTAACCAGTACCCTTACCTTTGAATTAAAAACAGCGACATAGATATAATAGGTGCTGTTCTGTTCACGATCCTATGGGCACAAAATATCATTAATTTAGGTTCGCATGACGATGAATACTAAGGCCCATTGCACTCAAAAAATATTTCCACGGACAGAATATTTTCCAAAAATATCATTGTTAATTCAAAATGTTTTTCCGACCGAAATTTTGTGTCGGCTAATTACATTTTACAAAATTTTCTTTCTGTGGAACTTCACAAGTTATGTTGCTGAATACTCACAAGTTGTTTCTTGGTTGTAACTACTCCACTTTCTTCGTTGATTGCAAAGATATTTGCACCATTTCCTCCTTTAAAGATAATATAAGTATATATAGAATTGTACGACGTCAACTGTTGCTGTTCGCACTGCTTATTTTCACAAGTTTGTTGACAAATTGTAGCAGTCCTGCAAGAAGACTTGCTACAAAGTTGATGACCCAACAGAATTGTTAGTCATTGTTGTTGTTACTGTCGTGCATTTCACCAATTTGTTGACAAGTTGCGAGTGGCGAACATTTATGGGTGTGCATTCTATAGCCAGCTTAATGTGGTTTTGTGAACAAGCATGAACTAATTCAGAAAATTTTACACAGCACTCACCGATGATGTAATAATACAGTTTTCCATCTTCATCCTTATCTGAAGCTTTGATTGTGCCAACTACTGCACTGGATGCTTGGTTTTCAAATACACTCAAGCTGACGCTTTTCTACATGAAGGGAAAATATGAAAACATGAGATAACGGTAAGATGATGCTTTAGGCAGGGAAAATTGATGCTTGCAGTTGTGAGATGAATTTTCAAACGTGACAGAGTCGAAAGGTCGCTAGTATATAGGGTGCCTCTGGCTGCCACCATATAACCCATGTCTGATCACAACAGCCAAGAGGAAGGGTTAGTTTTTGGCGAGGGAGAGAAACTGCAGGATCCTGAGAAAAACCCTCTCGAAGCAGAACTAAAAGAAAGCAAACCAACACTCTACTGCATTAATCATATGCGTCATAACAAAAGTCGGACAAAAGTCGGGGAAAAAGTAGTCAAAGCAATAAAATCTCTCGTAATAATAACCCCAGTTTGTTGGGCAAACCAAGCCAGTTGAGCAATCTTCGCTTCACAGTCGGGCAATATTGGGTTATTATAAAAATAAATGGGACAAATTCTGCCAATTTTGCGGGAAATTATGTAAATTTTGTGATGTTTGGGAAAATTTGTTTGATGTTCCGAAAAATTTTGGTGTGTCCGAAAAATTTTTGTACCCCTAAAATGGTACACTGGCCGAAATTTTTTTGGGCACTGGTCGGGCACAATTCGAAAAAGTCGGGCAAATTTCTTTCTGCCCCCCTAATTTTTTCCTTCCCGTACGCCTATGACCACAAGCACATCAAGTAATAGCATGATTACTCATCTATAAGTGGAACGATTACTCATTTAAAATAGTTAGTTTGGATAATAGTTTGGATACAGACTACATCAGCATTTTGCAGCGGTATGCTATATATTGTACACAACTCCATCGTGTATTAAATAATGTTATGAATAAATGAATGAATGAATGTACCCTACTGTAAACTTTAGTTCAGTATAGCAACCATCTGTCACCCAGCAGTCACAATCGAGACATGTTCATTCCTTTATGTGACATTTAACTTGTACATTTATACAAACCTGCATAAAGACCGGAGGGTTATCGTTCGTGTCCAAAACATCAATTGTGATCACATGAATATCAGATTGTAAGCTTGGAGAACCATAATCGAACGCTTGGATACCAATCTAAATCAATACAAATAGTACAAGCCTAGTTTCTAGCTTATCAGATTCTAGCAGAATCTCAAGAGGACTAAAGCCTCCATCCATGACTTGTGGTATTAATAAAAACAGGCACATATATCAGGCCTGATAATATTAAAACATAAAAGCATACAATACCTGATACTGGGTTGTTGTTTCGTGGTCAAGTTCCTTGACTGTGAACAACTCTCCAGTGTGGTTGTTTATTTCAAAAACACCATCTCCATTACCACTGACAATTCTGTAACCAATCTCAGCATTTTTGTTCAAGTCTGCATCTGTAGCGTTGAACTGAGCAACCACGCTGCCTTGTGTCGCATTCTGAAAAACGACAGTTGCATCTAAAGTTAACTTGCTTGTGCTGGCGGTGCAATGGCTAGTGTATATGTATTCTACCTCTGTGACTAGGAAAATCAATACGCAATTGTCTGATTATAATTTCACCTCAGTTGCATGCGAGAAGATTGCTTTCAGCTTGACTTCGGATGCAATATTTTCCTCGTGTATAGTAACACCGGATCAATAAGAGATATCCTTACTAAACCTTTAAGAACAATTTAGAACTGATGAGAGCTATCCAGTATAAATAAAGTTAGTTTAGGTTTCCTTATGTAGTATAACACTGGATCAATAAGAGATAATCCTTACTGGACCTCTAGGAAGATCAATTTAAAACTGATAGAGCTATCCAGTATAAATAAAGTTAGTTTAGGTTTCCTTCTGTAGTAACACTGGATCAATAAGAAATAATCCTTACTGGACCTCTAGGAAGATCAACTTAAAACTGATAGAGCTATACAGTATAAAAAAGTTAGTTTAGGGAGCAGTCATTATTAATGCGGGGGGGCCCGGAAGATATTTGGGGGGGGGCCACCAAAAATTTATCAACCAGTTAGGGGGGGCTACCAAAAATATCAAAGAAAAGTAGGGGGGGCCACCAAAAATAATTAACAATTATTCGCCAAAGGCGAGGTGATTATCGGTGAATAAAAACCAAGACGAAGTCGATGTTTTTATTCACGATAATCACCGAGCCTGAGGTGAATAATTGTTTTAGTATAATTTCATAGGTGATTATTTGGAAAAAAATTTAAAAATGCACATTTCTTCGTCATTTAATTGACAAAACGGCTTCGGCCGCCATTTTGAAAATCGCTTATGTGATTATCGCGTAATAATCACCTCAACGGTAACCAATCAGCGTGGAGAATTTTCAATAATCACCTATGTAATTATACTAATGTACAATAATCATGAAACATCAGCATTATAGTTCACTGTAATATAAATGTCA